ATCAACCCTCATTTTTAAACACTCGAAATATAATAGCTGGTGGCTATTCAGTGGGAGAGCTCCCTTAACGATACCCTCCCTAATATATGCCTACCGGGGATGGGACGGGTTACCCGAAACCCGATACCCGAAACCAGGACTTTTTCGACTCGAAATTCGTTCCGAAGAAAATTTTGAAGATCCGACCCGAAACCCGACACGACTTTTTCTCAACCCGTCCCATCCCTGATGTATACTTTCATTATAAAGGGACAGCATAATAGAGCTTTATCTAAAAACGAGGATTTAAATTTAAAAAGTTTTCCTAAATTTTATTCTCATTTAAAGTTAACTTGCTTACAATGAGTCTAAATAATGCTAAATTAAAAAAATTTTTCTTAAAAGATTTATATAATAAATATAGGTACTCGCAGCATTAAATAATAATTACAAAATTATTTCTTCTTTCACCAGCGCTTTAACTGTTGCTGCTAACAAAATAGCCGGCAATACAAGCAGTTTAGATTGGAAGTTTGAAATTGCAAATTTGAAATACAAAAGAATGAATAAGGTTAGAAATAATAATGTTATACACTCCGCCACATAATTATATGAACACCCCTAAATTTCCACTTTTTACCGTAAATAGCAGACAAATACCGATTTTTCTCATTAATATATTTTAGAAATCGTCTAAAAACGCATTAGAAAAAAGAAAATCTGAAAATGGATTTAGGGTAAATTTTTTAAGAAAATTTTCAATTTTTCGACCGCCACATAATTATATGAACACTTTGGGTTTTTGTATTTCTAAAGGTAGGAAAAATCTAGAAAAATTCCAATTAACTTATTTATCGATACCAAGAAAAAATAAAAAAGAAATAAGCCCATATCTTTTTCCAGTTTCGAGATTTCGATACCCCGAAAATCAACGTAAAACAGGGGTAAGCAGCTTCGAAAAATTTTTTCGACCCCTTATGGATTATTTTAAATTTTTATATTAGGCTTATCTGAAAGCCCTTGAAATTTGCTACAAGATACTGAAAATTGTATTTTTTAGAAAAAATAAATTTAAGAGATATTTATCATCATACTTTCGTAGCGATCTTATTGGGCATTTTACGGGGTAATTTGTCGTTTTTTGTGATTGAGAGATTTAACAGTTAATTAAATGCCGAGATATTTTTTCTAGAAAATGAGGTAATTACTATCTTGTAGCAAATTTCAAGGGCTTTCAGATAAGCCTAATATAAAAATTTAAAATAATCCATTATGTGGCGGTCGAAAAATTAAAAATTTTCTAAAAAAATTCGACCTGAAACCATTTTGAGATTTTCTTTTTCTAAGGCGATTTTAGCCGTTTTCTAAAATATATTAAGGTTAAAAATCTGTATTTGCCTTCCAAATACGGCAGAAAGTGGAAATATAGGGGTGTTCATATAATTATGTGGCGGAGTGTAGTAAGTTGGAGAAACTGTTGAAGAGAGCCCCAATTTTTGTGTTTTGCCATCAAAAGTGACAAAACGTCATTTTTGATTGTAAAATTCAAAGAGATTTTTATCTCAAAGATTTTTAAAAGGATATGTTACTGGACACTCAATATCTTACACCTTTAAACGTTTTGAATATCCTGGATTAAACTGAATATCCTGGAAAAAATTTCCCCGAAAAGTCGAAAACGTAGTACCTGTTAGACCGGTCGAAATGTTTTCGAAAATATCAGAATTTCGAAAAACGCCGAAACATGTCAAGTGAGATAGGAATTAAGCTATTTTTTAAAATTTAGATCTGCCAGATCGGATAAAGATGAACGGAATTACATAGAGTTTACCCTTTCCCTATTTAAATTTCCGCCACTGTACTTACACTCCTCCACAAAATTATAGCCCCACCTATATTTTTCTCGGTTTTCATACTGTATCCGTTGTTTTTATTTTCAGACTTTTTTGTAATGATAAATAGTGGTCTAAGATTAGGTTTATAAAAAAATTTTGTTTTCAAATCAGTTTTTTCGAAAGTTATAGCAAATCTCAAATTTTAGGGTTCCACAAAATTATAGCCCCACTTTGAGATTTCGAGTTTCGTGGAGGAGTGTATAATTGTCAAAATAAGTTAATATTTTTAAAGTAGAATGTCACATACTCCCTCTAATGTCATGTACGATTCTTTTAGTGTATGGTTTTTAAATGTGACTGACCACTGCTTGGTAGCAGAGTCAGAAAAGTCAGAGGTGTCGGAAATCGGAACTGGCTCAAAAGTCGGAACTCGGAAATCCGACCCACCTCTGCTTGGTAGATGGGTGAATTTCTTAATCCTCTGTTTAAGGAGCCCATTTTAGTTTCAGCCCTGAGAACGTATACTTTAACGTTTTTTTTCTCTAAAAAGAAATGGGCATATGCACTGATTGAAGGAAATATTTATTATTACAATGAATTTACCGAACATCAAGACAATACTAAAATTATTATAATTGAAAGAATGGTTCTTCAAAATCTTGCTTTGTTTGAGATATTCCATTAATTGGACCAATTTGAAAATTTTTGAGGAGATTTGAGTGATTTTAAGAAATTCTAGTTGATCAATTTTTTGATTATTTATTCTGTTTTAGCAAAAATTCATTTAGTAGTATTTTTTAAATTTTTTTTCACAAATATTTATTAGCTTCTGTTTTAGTTTTTAATTTATTCTATTTAAAATAGATCAAAGTAAATTTCAAAAATATTTTTTTATTAGCTAGTATTTTTAATTAAAATTCCATTTATTGATAAATTTCTTTAAAAATTCTTGTTGATTTTAATTTAAATTTTTTTTTAATTTAATTACCTCGCTTAATTAATTTTTCCAACATTCTTGCTGGAAAGGGTAATTAATCGAGAGAGGGAAATTAATTAAATTCTGAAATTTGAACGTATCTGTGTGGGTCTCTTTACATTTGTTTTAATGAGTAATTAATTGCGGGATGGAGATCATTTTATGGATGATAATTAATCTAGAAAATACGGAAGGTAGAAATATAGTTTTTTAGATCAATCTTTAGTATTACTAAATATTTACAATTTCTGAAAGGCTAAAAACAAATAAAATCTAAAAGGCCTAAAAACTATATATCCTAAGGATTCTATTATTCAACTAGGTTTAAAACAGGCCTGTTTCCATGTCTAAATTTTTGTTTTTTTTGTTTTATATTTTTCAATGGAATTTTGGCCCGAAAAAGACTCGATTGGCTCGATTCGCGAGGCTCGAAAAAATGACTCGAACGTTTGCCCGATTCGAAAGCCCCAGTCCTACTGTTATTAATTTTTTCTTGACTTATTGTTAGTACGATTTTTCTCGATTTGGAAAATTTTCATAGATCTGGCTTCCCAATTTTTTCTGATAGATTCTCCAATAAGAAAATAAAATCTAAGCTGCGGCAATAGAGTCATGCACCCTTGCAGATAAAAAATCATCAAATTCCGAGAATTCCGAGTGGAGCGAGAATCATGTTCAGACTAGTGTTCGGCAAAAGATTTTTCCAATACCAATAGTACCGAAAAGTACTGGTATTGAATGAGTACTGAAAATTCCAAAATCTCATCAGTACCGTACCAATACCAGTATACCAAAAAGTACCGAGTCGGTATAATCGGTAGTACGCGGTAATACCGAGCTGTGCCGAACACTAGTTCAGACAACGTTCCGGCTAGGCTAATAAAATAAAAAATATAAAAAATATTGTATTAAACGATAGACAAAGTAAAAGTCCAAATCAAAACACAAAAATATGTAAATATAATTTTGCTTTTTGTCGGCTTTCATTTGGCAAAAAAGAGAAAAAAATTGAAAAATTGCCTTTGACATTAAATTGCCGAAAATTGCCCTCTGAGATACAAAAATTGCCCTCTGAGATACATATTTACCTATTTATTGCTTGCTAATTCATTAATAATTTTTAAAAATAATAATTAATTTAAAAAATTAAAATGTTAATTTTAATTAAAATGTTGTTACTTTTTGTTGCTAGTTTTCTTATAAATTTTGTTGAAGGAATGGAACACGGTAATAAAATTTTTCAATTTACATGTTAAATGCTGCCTCAAATAATCAAGCAAATATGTCAAGCGTTTGGAAGCCTCTCAAAAAATTTCGTCCTCGTATTAGTTTAAGGTAGGGTTGTACCCCTACAGCTTGAGGGCGCGTTTGTCGGGGTGCGTTGGGTATGACTGACAGAATAATACAACAAGTGGTTGTCATTCATACTCCAAGGAACCCCGACAAACGTGCCCTCAAGCTGTCGAGGTACAACACTAGTTTAAGAGATGTTTTGCTAGCCCACAAATTCTAAAGGTTCCTGTCAGTTCCAGGTATTCTTGCGTGTCATTTAAAAATAAAAAAGCTTGATTTTGTTTTTTGTTAAACTGTTAAAAAATTTTTTTACAAAAATTTTTTAAAAATTTCTATTTAAATATAAATAGGACTTATGCGAAGTGGTCAAAAACGGCCTTTGATAGAACTACCTGACAACCGAACATTCTTTTGTTTGACAGAATTATCATTTCTGATAATTATTTTAACAAATACTACTGATGATGATTTATTTGGTGAGCCTGATAATGTGACACAAGTTAGAACAGTTTATGAAATTCTTAAACAAATTGGTAATGGAAAGCTTGTAGAATTTCAACTTCAAAATGATCAAAATTTTGGACAAATTTCTCCAAAATTAATTAATGTAAGGAGCTAGAATAATAAAAAAAAATCCCTTAAGAAGTGTATCAAGGATGAATTACAGACGTTTATCTAGGGTACGATTTTTTGTCCAACGCATACACATAATTGGTACCAGACGTTCGTACCAAAATTCGTATTTGGCACGAAGTTATGTTAAGAAGCACGAACGACACCAAAAGTAAGGGGCACGGTATGATTCCGAGCAAAATCATAATTTCCAGACAATGCTTTGGATAAGAAATCGTACCCTAGAATGAGAGGTCAATGCCACGGAAACTCCTATGTTAATGACATAGAATCATCGAGGAAAATACAAAATCTCAGTTAAAAAGCAAATTTTCAGGTAATTAATTATTTTGAAAACAATCTTAATGAACATCAAACGGCAATAAATGGGAGAATAAATCAGCTTATTGAAAATTATAACAAAGCAATGAATGAAGGGGATCAGGCAGTGGTTAACCAAATTCGGGAGGAGAAAATAGAGTTTATTATTGGAAGATTAACTGATTTTACTGAGTTAAAAACAGATGAGAATTACGAAGATTTTTTAGGACAATATGGCTTTAGTAGGGAAATGGTCTCTAAAGATTACTTTATGGGATTAAGGTGAAAATTTTGGTTAAAAATAATTAAAAATTAAAGAAGCCTAAAGGCCATTATTTAACGTAAATTAAATTTTAATCAAGTCGGATCCCACTTATTTTTCAAAATCTAGTTGGCTAATTGGAGTGGGAAAATCTTTAGGCAACCTCCAGTCTCATATGAATTTGAATCTAGTACCTATACGATTTTTACTGCATAAAATAGTGATGTCCGGACCAGAAAATAGTGATTACCGGTTCCAGTTCTGGAACTGCTTTTTGAATTTCTTCAGTTCCAGTTCTGGAGTTCCAAAACGGTTCCAGACCTTTACTGGTTCCACGGTTCTAGTTCCTGAACTGGAACTTCTCCATCACTTGTCAGGACACGTAAGCGAGTCCGACTGTACTCAATAAAATTGTAATATTAATCTAGTGATCAATTCATCGACCAATTTTTAAATGTTTTAAAAACACCTTCAATTGAAGAAAATAATTTATTTATTTTCTTCCATGTGCTTGCAATTACACGAACTCTTATCATGTTGTTTGTTAAATACAATGCAAACGAGTATAACAATCTCTTAAATTCAATGAATTTGAGGTAATTTTAAAATTAGGTAAATGATGGAGGAAGCATAAGGTTGTCTTGGGAAATCCTCTGATATCCGTATTCGGCTCCCGGTCTGTGAATAAATCCCTATTAATTTAGAGAACAAATCTCTCTTATGGAATATATAGAATCTTTAGACACTTTTGAAATTCATGCAAACAACAAATTCAATAAAATAAAGAAATTGTTAATTTATAAAAATATGGAGGTTATATTCGATCATCATGATGGTAAGCTTAATTGCCTGAATTAATTAACTATATTATTCGTCATAATTATTTAATATCGAATAATTACGGGAAACTATAATACAAAAAATTCTGTATAGGAATCTATCCGAGAGTATTTTTTACAATAGAGAGAACTTGAAAGCCTAGAAGGTGATTCAGAATTTCGTAGGTTCTGAATAATGACAGACAAAATCGTATTTACGGGATCCCGCATGCGGGAGTAACTTCTAAAAACGTCTGCGGGACGGGATCCCGCGGGAATAAGAGAAAAGTGGGGGATTCGAATTCGAAAAAAGTCGAAATCGAAAAAGGTGCGGGATTGCGGGAGCGGTGTCCCGCAAAATCCCGCGCGGGATCCCGTCCCGCGCCGGTCACTAGTTCTGAATTACTCGCCGATGGCTAAATCTTTGTTCAAGTCTTTACGTAAATAAAATTTTTCATCGGATATAAAACACAATCCTTATTTTTTCAGAAGCCATTTATAATAGTATTGTTATGAGTTTGGAATATGTTGAGACTAGATTATTGGCTATTCCGCAAGTATATTTTGAAATGAACGAAAATTATGAAAACATTAATAATTTTCAACCATACTTGAATTGCTGTGTATTTACATTCACAAGTAATTATAAATTAAAAATAAATTTAATAAATACAGAATAGGCCGTTAAAAATATTGTCGTTTCAATTAAGATCTATGGAACAATGTAGGGAATAAAAGCAAACCATTCCCAGCTTGTGTCTATCAACTGAAACTGAATTCCGGATATTGGGATGTAGATTCCAATTTATTCCTCCCTCCCTCTCCATAACTAGTTAACGATCCTCTACTAGTAAACGAACCTCTCCCCCATCCCCTATTTGATAGCAATCTACCAAATATCTCATTACGATTATACCCTCACCCTAGGACTTATAACTTCATATACCGTATTTTCTCGATTAATTCCCTTCCCTCGAATAATTCCCCCTCTCGATTAATTCCCCCTGCCAAAGATAGGTTAAAACAATAATTCCCCTCCCGCAAATACCATACTGCACGTTCAAATTTCAAAACTTGAATAATTCACCTCCCTTGAATAATTCCCCATGCAATGGATGGGTTGAAAAAATAATTCCCCAGGGGAATTAATCGAAAAAATACGGTAATGTTTAGAGACGTTACTTTAGAATTGAGACATAAAAATAGCTTTAAAAATTTTATCAACAATCTCACATTTAATTTAATTAGCATTCGCTGATCAAAGTAAAATTCTCACACCTGATGAATTCGCAATGATAGCACCTTACCGAATTAATCTATTTACCAATTTATACAATTTATATTTTCTTTATTATTTCTCTAATATTCAACAAAATCTTAAATCAAAAATAGAAGAACATTATATTAATCCTCAATTGATAGCAACACATTTTATTTACAACCCAGATATTACGCATTTGATAAAAAGTGCAGATGGGGAAATTTCAATTCCATCATTAACTCGTTTTGTAATCTTTTTTGTTTATTTTCGTTCTTTTAATTTTGGAAAAATTTAAAAAATAATTTCTAAGCAATCTTTTCACTTATATTATATGTATATTAAACTGTCAGACGTCCTCGACTTTAAAAATTAGTTTAAATTTTATTTGAGGTACCTAATTTGTTTCAACAATTAAGGTATATATTCGTCGCGGACCTGAAATTGGGGGAACTAGTCAACAAGCTGGTGAAGGAACTAGTCAACAAGCCGCTGAAAGTAGCAGTACTGGAGCAAGCCGACGTCGCCGTCGAAACGGAAATGGAAACGGGAATGGTAACGGAGATGGAAATGGCAACAGAAGTGGCAGACGTCCTCGACGTGGGAGAGGAAATGGAAATGGTGAAGGTGGTAAATGAAAGTCTGAGGAAGAAGTTAAAGTTGAAAATGAATCCGAAAAAGTAGTCTTTTAGTAGTCTTTATCTTTTATTAAAAATCTGTTATTTTTAATGAAAAAATTAAAAGTAGAGATCAGAAAAATCGAATATGAAGTCAAATTCAATGTTAAACTTCGAATTCCAAATTATATGATTTAACAAAAAAGAGTTCGAACTCGATTATTTGATCGAAGTCAGAATAATTTATAAATTCTAATAGATTTGAGAGGGATTAAAGGGGATTTGGTTGATTAGTTGGGATATAGGTTGATTTGAGGTATTACGAGTGGAGAGATTAAGAGTAGGATTAAAAGGATATAGGTGATAGCCCTCATAGCCTCATAGCCCTTAATCCGTTTATAATAAATCCTCAGTATCGCTCTCCCTTTTAATCATTCGAAATCCCTCTTAATCTTTCAAAATCATCTGTAATCTCCTTCCAACTTATATAAAAAATCAAAACACATTATCGATAAGCATACCAAAAATATAAAAATTATCTCTTTGTCGGCATTAATTCTTTTTGTCGGGGTTAAATTAGAAAATAATGTCTTAAAAGCGACTCTAAATTGCCGACCTTCATAACATTTTCACATGCTTAATTAACTCTAAAGAGTGACATTAAGGTTAACGGCATTTTTTATTTCATCATCTCTTTTTTATATTTATATTTTTTTATGTTTTTACACTTATTTATGGCTTACAAACCCAATTCAAGGATGTTTTGCAGCCTTGGGTCTAAGGTTAAACTGAATCCTTCAGCAGAATTCATCCCCTCCATAAGGCTAAAGGTTTGCAAGGTTGGTGCGCAGTCAATTTACCCGGTTTAACTCTTCTCAATTATGAGTAAAGTAGTACGAGGTCGAGGTTTTTTGAAAAAAAACTGAGGCCAAGGATCACTGAGGCTTGAAAAGCCGAGATCGAGGGGCTGATATGGACCCGAAACCGTAGATAACCGAGGTTTTTATAAAAATTTTATGACTTCTAAAAATCTACTTAAATTTGATAAACCATTTTACCTTTAACTTCTTATAATAAATGATAATAAAATCTATTTTGTAGGCAAGTTTGAGTTTTATTATCCAAGTTTTAAATCACTCCGACAATCACTTGGAGAAAATCTCACCCCAAGTGGTGCGAACTTTTATTAAAATTCGCCCCACTTAGCCTTCAACTTTTTATAATAAATAAACAAAAATAAATAAACAAAATTTGCCAAAAACGCCCAAAAATATACAAATTTAGCCTTTTGTCGGCATTAAATTTAAAAAATAATAAATTAAAAAGACCCTAATTTGCCGGCATTTCTTTACTCTTTTCACATGCCCTTATTTATTGCTAATTTATTTATTTTTAATTTTAATTTATTTTTTTTAAAAATAATTTTTATCAGACAAAATTTAATTAAAAAATGTTTATTTAAAAAATTAAATGGCAATTGTCTTTATTTTTATTTTGTTATTTTTTGTTGCTAGTTTTCCTATTAAACTTGCTGAAGGGATGGATCTTGGTGAACATGTTTTTTAATTTATTTGTTAAATATGCCTCAAAGAATAAGAGGGGGTCTGGCTCCAAAAATCGAGCGATTTGTGCGTAACTGAGGGCGCGAGAGGTCGCGACCCCAAACTCGTAGCTCTTTGAAAATTTGACCATCGCGCTCTTATGGCCAAAAAACGTCCCAGTCCCGTAATTGACGGTTGTGTTACTGACAGATGAATGCGGTTATGGGTGTCATTAAAAATTTACCAGTGTGAGGTTCTGGCTCACAGATTTACTAATTTATATTTTTAAATGGTTAATAAATTTATTTAAATATACATAAATAGTAGTGTTTCACCGGAACCGAAATTTTGACCGGAACCGGAACCGGAACCGGATCCAATTTGAGTTCCGGTTTCCGGAACCGGAACCGGAACTTTTCAAAGTTCCGGCCCGGAACCGGAACCGGAACTTTTTAAAAAATTTTTGCTAGCAAATTTTTAAAAATTTGTAGTTTAAATAGGGTTGTCTGTTCACCAACTTCTTCGGTTAACCGAAACCGAACCGAACCGAGACTTTTGATTAACCAAAACTGAACCGAAAATTTGTCGGCGATAAGTGATATATTTGGGTTAGAGAGTGGTGTACAGTGCTGGGTATGGCTCCGGGAGCTAGCTCCGGAGCCCGGCTCCGGAGCCGGCTCCGGCGGAGCCGGAACCGGATCCAATCTGAGTTCCGGTTCCCGGAACCGGAACCGGAACCAAAAAAAACACCGGAACTTTCCGGAACCGGAACCGGAACCGGAACTTCCGG